CCAAGCCAACTCTACGGACTCTACGGAAACAAAGGCCAGTAATTTCTTGGTTTGCCAAGAATACCCTGCCATAGGACACACCCATACCACCCGGCGTCAGCAAATGCCAAACCCCACCGTTTGTTTTGTCGCCATGTATATCAAACACAGGGAAGGAATGTAAATCGAAGAAGGATTTGCGCTTCTGAACAAAAGGCTGCGCAAACCAAACACTCTCAAAGTCTGACTTAAATTTGCTGTCTCTGCAAAGGCGCCCTGCAACGGTGGCGAGGATCAGGCTGCGGAAGGCCATTGCTTCAAGCGAGCCTCAGGCTGTTTCATGTTGTTGGGGCATATGTCCGTGATTTTGGGGTTCCTTCCAACTGGCTTTTTACTTACAGTTCAATATTTCATGCCATGTGAAGGTTGACGTACTATACGTACTACAAGATGTACGGAAGAATGCAACAGACAGTGCAATAGTGGAATGCTTGTGGCATACTTGCACCCTACGCAACTCATTCAATCTTCCCAAATCCAAACCCGTGAACTGTGGAATCTTTGAGGTTTGACCTTGTGAAAGATTTGCACCGGTGTCCTTTGCAATCGACCCCCAAAGCCCGAAACCGAAACCCTTGGAACCGTGTAGCTGCGACATTTACTACTAGCAAGTCAAAGTTGGGCCCGAAACCCTAAAGCCCCATATTAATCCCCAAAGCTCCATTCAAGATAAGCGGGTCTGCACCAAGTTGTGTTGTTTCGGAAATAAGACGAGCCTGTAGCAAAAGCCTAGGGCCTAGGTGTGACATTAATTGTGCCTCAAGCGAACTTCCCTACCTGTTTCGATTTCGGGTGGGTTTCTCAAGACTTCGTCAGCCCTGACCTTGAGCTGCCGACAGTCCAGAACCTGAAAGAAAGAAAGCTAACGATGAAGAAGGCCAGGAAACAAAGAAACGCAAAGATGGTCGCACGAGTGCCGGGCCGGGTGGATGATCCCAAAAGTGCTTCGGATGACTTCGAGATATTTCGGGCATTCAGGAGAAGAGTTGTTTTAAAGGTTGACGTGCAGCATCATGATTGGAAGTCTACTGGTTGCAAGCTACAGTTTCCGATCGGACATGAAGGATGGAAGCCTGAAGTAGAGGGACCTTTGGGTTTATAGTTAGAATAAGGGCTTGGGGTATGCTGTCGTATAAGTAAGCCTACTGTTGCACCTGCATTAAAGCTTGACAGGTTGCGGTACAATTGCCGAATCGACCGGGTTGGGAAGCCTCGACAACGCTGGCGAGAATCACGATGCCGATGATGATGGGTACGACGGTCATAAGCTGCTTCATGTCGAGTGGAACGCGACTCCTGTTAGGAACCTGTTAAAGTACAATATGTGATGCTAAGTTGCTACTCAGCTCAGCAACAATTCGACTCTGGTTGTTGCTCTGTTTCCTTCCTCCATATGCTAACTGCAAGCCCATGTGCCCTCTAATGCAACATTACTTTCAATAACTCATGGGTTTATGCGGAAACAAGACAAGGAGCAATGATTCCGAAGGAAAACCTGGAATCATCCAAGTCAGGGCCTTCATAAATTGGGCTTTGGTTACTGTTGCTCTTGTTTTATTGTTTTGCCCGGACGGTGCATCAGGATTCTGGATTCCGGCTGAGTCTTGGGTTCTCTTGAGCCACTACACTATCACTACCAGCTGGGCTTAGCACCATCACAAAGTTGCGGGCTTGGGGTCTTCAACTCCCTCTTGGCTCTACGTGTTAGCCGCTGTGGGAGGTGCATGGGGATTCCAGGGGCATCTGCGGTTCAGCATCAGGTTGTAGAGCCTGGATGTATTTGCAGAAGGCTTCTGGATTGAGGGCTTATGTGTAAGGGAGGGGTTGCGGTGCTGGCGTGACAAACAGCGACGAAACATCCATTTTCGACGGCGCTTGGCGAAACCTCTGACCCAGCCTTCTTGGAGGCTCTGGAAAAATGCCCGCTAGAGCATGCGTCGCTCTTCAGGGACTGGGGCGAGGCCCCAGTCGAGCTTCAGCCACATGCTTCGGCCTGGGTCGTTACAGCTTAACGTAGGAGACCTGTTTCGCGCTTCGAGCTTGGGCCATCTGACAGCACTCGTGGCTTAAACGGCATCAACCCTGTTGACCAGCTTGGTGTGCTGCCTGGCCCCCTCTGCACCCCCTTCTGCGATGGCAGAAGAGGCACACCTGCCACGCACACATGTCACAGAGGTTTGCAATCCTGTGCAGTTGGGCTCATTAGGCTCAAAGGTTTGCTTACAGCTCGAGGGTGGGCTTCTGCCTCTAACTTTTCCTGATGGATTGTGGCTTGTGGTGTCCAGGTTCTTGCATTCGACGAAGCCCTTCCGGAAAGCGTCAGGTTGGAGGCCGGAACATCCACATACGTCTGACATGTTAGCGATGCAGCGCAGTAATTGCGACACCCCCCCCGCCAGACAGGCTAAACCCTAAACACCAAAAACAACAAACCTCGAACTCTATAAACCCCCGAG